GCTTGAATTCAAGAAGTTTTAGATTTGCGTGGTTTTTTTTTGAGTTGCAAAATCCACTTGAACATGACGCTGCTTTTTTCGAAGTTTCTCAAGAACTATTTGCGTCACAGCTTTCGTTTTGGTATCGTTGGATAGAGAATTGAAAATTCGATTTAGTCCTCACAACAGGAGTGAAGAAATTCGAGTAGTTTTGACCCAGAAAGTAAAATTTTAACATCAGACACTTAGGTGCAAGATTATTCCAAAATTTCATGTTTTCCGTCCCGTTTTTGCGCATTTCTCGGAAGCAAAAAGAGCAAGAACTCTGATTTTCACATAATTCCAGAGAGAACTAAATGGCTATTTTAGAAAGTGAACCATCGATAAGGAAATGTTGGCAGTTTTCTCAAAAAGAGCCTGTTTTCAAGAAGTTTTAGGTTTGTGTGGTTTTTTTTGAGTTGCAAAATCCACTTGAATATGACGCTGCTTTTTTCGAAGTTTCTCAAGAACCATTCGAGCGACAGAATTCGTTTTGGCATTGTTGGATAGATAATTGAAAAGTCGATTCAGTCGTAACAACGTGAGTGGGGAAATTCGAGTAGTTGTGACCCAGAAAGTAAAATTTTAATATCAGACACTTAGGTGCAAGATTATGCCAACATTTCATGTTTCCCGTCTCGTTTTTGCGCATTTCTCGGAAGCAAAAAGAGCAAGAACTCTGATTTTCACATAATTCCAAAGAGAACTAAATGGACTTTTTAAAACGCGAACCATCCATAAGGAAGTTTTCGCAGTTTTCTCAAAAAGTCTTGATTTCAAGAAGTTTTCGATTGGCGTGTTTTTTTTTGTTCCAAAATCGACTTATCATCGGTCAAGACCCCCATGACCCCCCTCCTTTGGATCCGCCCCTGGTCATAAAAGCTTATCTGCGAATATCAAAGGTTTTGGCATAGAAAATCACTGGTTCAGACTTATTGCTGAGAGAGGAATGGTTGTGGTTGATTTCCGCAGGTAAGTACTTTTAATTATAAATTAAGTTTTGTGTTTCTGGCCACCACAAAATATCCCCCTATAAATATATCCGCATAAATATATATTCCAACCCTATAAAAATAGGGTTGGGGGGATGTTCTGTGCTGGCCACTACCATTTCTAGGCACATAACCTAAAATGCTGAAAATCCCACTTTCCGTCTTTCTGGCTGTTTAAAAGTGTCGACGTTCAAACGACCCATGGAACTAAATGAGGCAAAATATTTGCCATCAGGAATTCATTCAGAAAGTTAGTTTTCGCAGTGAAACTTTCCTTAAACGTACTTGAGGGCTCAACCTAGCTTGCTGTTGCAAACTCCTTTATTTTGCTTCAAAGGTATTTGTCTTGACATACACAACAACAAGCAAAAAATTTAAAAATTACTGTCGCAAATGTGAAAGAAATTACCTGGGCATTCGACAGAAAAACGAAACTTTTACGCCACACTTATACACGAGATCCGCACTTTAACACATGGAACATACTTCATGACAGAACACTGGTACAGAACAGTGCACACTGAATGGATTCGCGGACGCTCGTTGGCGCAACAATCTGCTTCGGCTATGATCGCCAAAAATCCAGACAATCTGGATCACATAAGCGTTGCCAGATAGTTGTAATCGTTGCAGGTAACAAAGATTTCACGCCTTTGGAATCCCTTGTATATACGTATGTACACTTGTGCTTGTTGCTAGTTTTTCCAAAATCCACTAATTTTGATTTTAAATATCCAGTGCCAAAACAACTAATTGATGTTTCTCCAGCCTCTCCAACCTCCAAATCTCCTGACATGACAAACAAATTGAGAAAAACTTTATTCCTGGAAAGCATGGCAGCAAATTAAATCAAGCACTCACCAGTTTTTAGAGTGTCATCCAAAGCTTTCCCATTTCTGTTGCCTCAAAGTCCAGTAAGCCTTTTCAATGCGGGTAAGGCCGCATTTCAAACAGGCCCTGTCTGTCTCCGCCACTATCCCGCACTGACAGTAAACGTCAAAATTATACCAAAAATTCAGTCGTTTTTCGCTTTAAAATCGCCATCCCGCTTGAGAAATTAACATAAAATGCTTCAGAAACGTTGATCTATCGATATTTGATCAGTTTTGGTGCTTAAATCGAAGAAAACCTACGATTTTTCCGATTTGATTGAGAGCGAAAAGCATCTTGTTCACTTTAGTTCAGATCACTGAGCTGATAAGGTGAGTTGGGCTGCGTCATACTTCATTGACTACTCAATTGGATTTTTGACACTGTTTTTTTGGCCGCATGTCGGATGTTGGTCCATATACAAGGTGATTCAAAATTGGCGTCATTCTTTTTAAGGGTATATAGAGGCCCACTTAGAAAGTACGAAAAAAATATTCAACATTTTTTTTCGAAAATTTCAAGAAAATATTAACAGTTGAAGGTCGAATTTCAACTTTGTTGTTAAGCATTATTTTGAAAAGGTCCCATGTTTGATTGGTAGCCTATTGGAAGACTTAAGCATTCGAAAATAAAAACTATGGTCTTTTTGTCACATTATGAAAATTTTTGTCATTAAAAAAGTACTTACACTTATATCAGATAGTTACAGGTAGACAGCCTTTGTCAATAATAACAATCATTTGTCAAACTGTGGCTTATTTTGAACCTTATGAAATGTTAATTAGGCAGATTACCTTGAAAAACATTGTTGCCATCCTTCCGATCTAGTTTTTTGCAAATATCGGAGTTTTAAATAACATTTAATTTTTTTTGCTATTTTTTCTGTACTCTCGAGACACCCCCAGACAACACCTCTAGAGGAATGACGCCAATTTTGAATCACCCTGCATATACAGTCCACCCTGTATATTTATAACATTTTGCCTGACAAAGTTCATACAATGTTCGCATATTTAATTTTTTTTCGTGCAGGGATGGGCCCCTTAACCGGAAGTGATTGGATTATGTAGGAATTGCTGCAATTGCAAACAATCCATCGAAAAGGCCTTTCAATCTGTTAACTATTTCGTGTTTATTTAACATAGAATTTAGCTACATTTAATGTTATTCGCAATTTTTGGCTTTTGTCTATTTGCTTTACGATGTCGGGTTTATTTTTACAATTGCCATTGAAGGCTCGTGTATATTTCTTACTATCTCCAGCCTTCAATTTGATTAGAATAAGGATGCGCTTTACTAGTAGATATGCATAGACAGCTACTAATTGATTGGTTGACTAGCACACGAAACATTTTTGTATAAAGATCATAATCATTAACTGTTTAAAACGTATTTGCGTTCCGAAATTAAAAGTTTTGGTCAACACTTGGTAGGAATTGTGTTGTTTCATTCCGTAAATTTTTAAATAAAAATCTCAATTCAAAGAGGCTGTAAATTTCTTCCAGATAAAAGATGCAAAAAATGTTTGCAAATAAGTGCCGACACTGACGCGTCTCTTGATAGAAGCAGAAGCTAAAGTTCAATAAACACTGATATCAATACCATTGAGCCTGATATTGAGTAGGATTTTACAATGTTTAAAAGACATTTTTCCCAGTACAGAAGAATGGCGTCAACATCCGAAGCAAAAGCTGCCTTGAGAACGGAGATTGCCAGCAAACTGGCTAAACTTACCTGTGAGGAGAAGCTAAGCCAATCGAAATCTGTTTTTCAAAAGGTAAGAGTGTTTTCGATGTTTACTAACATAGATGAAAAAACAGCAAACACGTTCGTTGCATCAACAAAAAAAATGTAAATCATAGGAGGATGCGGCGCCATTGACATTTTACTGGAAACTCTGTTTTATTTAACTTTTATGGATGAACAATAAAAGGAGGCTGTAAATTGCCTCAATTACAGATTAATAACATACGCCATCGCAGTGGATATTCCCAGTAATTTCCTGGGCGGTCAACAGTTTGGTTGATTGACGAATTTTATTACTTAGAGCGTGGCTGTTTTTTATGACTTCACAATCAATGTTCAGCCCCACATTTTACAGTAGGTAGTAAAAGCTGTAAAATGTGAGCCAGTTGGACAATCACTTCAGCGTTTATGCAACGCAGAATCTAATTTAATTTATTTGTTTCAGTTGATGAATTTAAATGCTTTCAAGTCCAGTAAAAGAGTTTCCGTGTTTTTAAGCACTGCAACGGAAATCGACACTGAGCCAATAGTGAGAAAAATATTTCAAGATGGAAAACAGTGCTTTGTTCCAAGGCAGGGCTAATACAATTTTTTGGAATTTACTTACACTTAAAACATTTTTACTTGCTTTTTCAAGCCGTTTTTTTTTAGCAGAAAGTGAATGAATCTGTTGCAGGTATAGTAAAGCTGGCATGCAAATGGTGAAACTGGCTTCAATGGAAGATTGGACTAATTTGCCACTGACAAAATGGAACATCAAGCAACCGTTACTGGCGGACCATAGAGAAGATGCTTTCGAAACAGGTAAATAGAGGAATGTTAAATTTATCCACAAGACAAATTGCATTGTTTCCATGTAGGAGGCCTCGATTTAATAATATGCCCAGGAGTGGCCTTTACAAGAACTGGAGACCGTCTGGGGCATGGCGGCGGCTACTATGATGCTTACATTAAGAAACTGCAGGAAATTCAAGAATGTCGGCCAGCTACAGTGGCACTGGCCTTTAAGGAACAAGTCGTAGAAAGATTACCTTTGGGACCAACCGACGTAACCATAGATCTGGTTTTATATGCTGAGTAGACCATTAAAGATTTGGAAAGCAACTAAATACATTTAAACAAGCGGATTAACGGAAAATTATCAGATGAATATCGGTCAGTTATTGGGGCGCATTCGGCATTTTGTCTAGGCAGCATTGTTTGTTGCCTATTAAAATGCGCATTCACCATGTTATAGTGATTTTGGGACCTGATGTATCCCGCAGTCATGTGTAATGTGGGTCAAGGTGCGCCTATTTGCGCAAAAAGTTTCGATTCTCAGTCATCTGAATGCAGATTGCAACAACAATTTTTTGTTTGGTAATTTTTGATTGATATAAAAGTCGTTTGGGCCTTCGTTGTCATTGCCTGGCGCATCCGCCAATTTATCCACACTGGCTGTACCAGCCAACCTTAACGATTTCAAGAGAACATTTGAAGTTGATAACACCGTTTCCATTCACAAAGAAAGCCCAGATTAGTTCGCTTCTTCAAAATAATCCCAATCATCAAAAAGTAGAAAAACACTCTGGAATTTTATCATTTTATTGCTGTAAACTCACGGGTATACAACCAGAACATTGAAATATATTTCGAGAAACGGAGATATATGCTACGATAGAAAAGTGTCACTATCTGATTGTCTTACAAAGTTTTGAGAAAATATACATATATTTTTTTATATAGTTTAAGAGGAGTAGTTTAACAACAAACATCTACCAAAAATATTAAAGCTTTTCAACCTCTTGCGCGTGTATTGGATACCGCGACTTATAAATGGGACGAAAAAATCTGCAGAAAGTAAGCCCAAAATCATTTACTTCATTCAGTAAATTGTGCTTGTTTAAATTATACTGTCGATTGTGAAGTTCTGCTGTTTGCAGTTTCCTCATTCAAATAAAACTCGAATATTTTACTTCTTCGGCTGCAAGTTGTGCTGGTTTGGTTCAAGTCAAGAAATGCTTTGTTACGTAAACAGAAAACGATGGCTACTCTCTGCGTATTCTTATCAGCTATTAACTCTAAATGATATTTAAATAAAATATTTGGCTAGGAATGTTCTTCGAAACATTTAAAACGGTACTACTTATTTTATTGACCGTTTTCCTTCAATCAGCTTCAGATATTCAATCTTGCTAGTTTCTGTATTCCCCAAGTAATTATTTCGTTTCCCTCTCTCCAACATTTTAAAGGACAGTTTTTCACTTCTACTATTACTTTTAGGCCTCTCTCTACCTATTATTTCTATATTATTTACAAAGCTAATTCTAAAATACACCAATAACACGAAGTAGTATGTAGGTTCTTCAGTGTTGAAATTTGGAAAACATTCAGGACTAATTTTTTTGGCAAATTTAGAGCACATGCAAATTTTCACAGCTCTTCGACTTGCTAATGTCGTTCAGACAGATTTTCTGCAAGATTTCTTTGGCAAAGTGCAACCGGAGGCTTGTCTTGGATCCCTTCATTTTGCTCTTTTCTTTGGTCATTGACTTTTTCTTCTCCAACGTCTCTCTCAGGCGAATCTGCTTGAGGATTCCCACTAGAAGCTCATCCACATTATGCTGGATTCCACTAGAAGTCTCGATGAACTTGCAATCTTTGGCTACAGCCAAACATTTTCCTTCTGAAAGTAGTTCTCATAAATGTGCTGAGCAGGTTTGAGTTTCTTCTATAACTTACCATTTTGTGTGATCACTCTGGCTCTGGCCAGGTCGGCTTTATTTCCCACAACAATCACACTTTTGTCCCTTGTGCAGTTTTCCTTCCATAGGTAGTTCAAGATTTCTTCAGCTGTTTGAAAAGTCGATCTAGAGGTGACTGAGTACACAACTATGCAGGCATGCGGCTCGTATGTGCTTAGAGAATTCTCAACCTAGATAAATTGAGTTATGCGATTAAATTGATTTTATCGAGACCATGTTTGCTTACCGACATTTCAGAAGCTGGATGATCAATAAAAACCATCTCCGACTCTTGGCCATCGAGTAAAATTGAAACAGTCCGCTCTCCAAATTCATCATCTGGAATTTTTCAGTTTAGTCGCATGCACTATGGGTTTAGTGTGATATATTTATTGAATTGATTGAATGAGCTCGAGAACATTTAATAAGTAACATTCCGTTCTTATCTGTTCCGAAAAGTTGCAAATGTCCTTTAAAAATCTACTTTGCCTTTAGTATCTGTGACGTGAACCAACGCAATGCAAGATTCCAGTGTAAAAATCTAGTGAAAACATGTGCTTAAAGGGAATTATAACGCACTACCACCTCTAAGTACCTAAACCACACCAAAAAGAAAAATATAATTTTACCTTTTGTCTTACCTAAACTTGCATCGTAAGTGTTCATGTACTCCGAGGTCATGAATTGAGAAACTAGAGCGGTTTTCCCCACTCCAGCATCCCCCAGAGTGACCACCCGATACTTGGGAACTTCCACTTCGTCCGTTGAGTCGAACGAGTCGGAACCAACGCTGTGGTAACCGGAACCGCAACAGGAACCATCAAAAGGTGAGCGCTCCCCAGATACATTTGACCTAGATAAAATATATCAAATAACATTCAGTTTATAGAGGGTGTTCCACTGGGAACCGCCGCGATCGATATCTGGCAGACTGTAATTAGCAGAAATTTGAAAATTGGGCCGTATGCCGAGGTCATTGGGGACAGGCCGCCCAAAATATTTTCAAGATGGCCACACTTCCGGTTTTACCGGAAGTGTGTATCAACTTGCTGATTTTAAATGGAACACCCTATATATTATGACATTTTTGAATTCTACTCCAAATTCTAAATGTATTTCATGTATAATATGCTATACCTAGGTCTAACGGTTTTTGAGATATTTGAAATTTTATGTAAAAAATGACAGTTGCAGCCACTCGAATAATTATTCATTTTTCCTATCAAGGAATTTGTCATACTTAATTTGAGTCGCATTTATTCTTGAAAAGGACTTACTTTAATGGAATTTCGAAAACATTTTTAAAACTATTAATACAAAGTGTTCAGAAAATAAGTTTCAAAATACAGTTGAGAAAACCGCCCAAAATCAATTTTTTCAAATGGAAACCCCCATTTTTGATACTTTTTTCATATTCAGTATAAAAAATAAGTGAAAGTTTGTGTACCGATATATTTTCCAAAAGTGTGCAGTTTTCGAAATATTGCCAATTTAATGTTTTCATATGGCTATTTTGCAGCATCTTCTTTTAAATCCTGTCACTCTTAGTTGCCATCACAAAAGTGGCAATTTTTAATACAATCAAATGCCAAAGGAAAGCTGACAGCTGTCAGTTACCTTTTGAAAATAGTTAATAATCATGCCCGGGCGCTTAAGTTCTACAAACGAAGATTATTTAAGCTTATTTATTATTTATGAAGAATGTGATAAAGTTATATCAAGAACCGTTTATGTATCATTAATTATTATTATATCAATCACTGGTATTACGACGTATTCAAAATTCTGGAAATTCTCTATAATTTGTTTAACAGCACAGCATGAAGGCTTCTGTTTCTGTGGATATCGAATTGCAAATGCGTCACATGTTCTTGATACAGCTTTATCACATTCTTCATAAATAATAAATAAGTTTAAATAATGTTCGTTTGTATAATTGAAGCGCCCTGGCATGATTATTAATTATTTTCAAAAAATAACTGACAGCTGTCAGCATTCCTTTGACATTTGAATGCATTAAAAATGGACACTTTCGTCATGGCAACTAAGAGTGACAGGATTTAAAATAAGGTGCGGCAAAATAGCTATAAGAAAACATTAAATTGGCAATATTTCGAAAACTGAACATTTTTGGAATAGACACCGTTACACAAACTTACACTTATTTTTAATACTGAATATGACAAAATTATCAAGAATGGGGGTTTCCATTTGAAAAAATTGTTTTTGGGCGGTTTTCTCAACTGTATTTTTTTAACACTTTGTATTAATAGTTTTCAAAATGTTTTCTAAATTCATTAAAGTAAGTCCCTTTCAAAAATAAATGCGACTCAAATTAAGTATGACAAATTCCCTTATAGGCAAAATGAATAATTATTCAAGTGGCTGCAACTGTCATTTTTACATAAAGTTCCAAATATATCAAAAACGGTTAGACTTGGCTGTAGCCATCCTGTAGGATGTATAGGAAATATACAGTAAAGTCCGCTTATAATGAACCCAGTTATAGTGAACTTTCGGTTAAAACAAACTTTTTTCCTTTAATTGAAACGTCGTCCATAAAGACCAACGTATTTTTTTACTGGTTATAACGAACTTCCGAATAAAACGATCACTTTTTAGGTTAGTTCTATATTCACTTTCCGTTTATAACGAACTTCCACGCTCAGCAACACCAATCGTGCGGAGTTGTTTATATTAGTGGGAGCGAGAGACAGGCAGTGACTTGTTGTTTTTTGCCGCGTTATGTATGTAAATCGTTATAGAATGGAAAAACAAAAACGCAAAGCTTTTTCACTAAATGGAAAGTACGAGATTATTAACAAAATAAAAAGTGGAGTAAAGCAGAGCGACATTTGTATGGAATTGGCACTTGGAAAGTCTACAGTTGCAACAATATGGAAAAACAGAGAAAACATTTTATCAGCGTATGACAAAACAAATGTTAGATGTAGGAAGTTAAAATTATCTGCACATGAGAAGGTTGACAAGAGACTTATTAAGTGGCTAACTCAAAAAAGACAAGAAAACGTTCCCATAAGTGGCAGTGTTTTGCAAGAAAATGCTAGTGAAATGGGGAGTAAAATCAAAAACAAAGATTTCGCTTGTTCTAAAAGTTGGGAAGAGCGTTTTAAGAAGAGGAATAATATTAGTAGCGGAAAAATTGTTGGAGAGTCTGCCGGTGAAAAATTCTTCTTATGAAAACGTTAGACGCGATCGATAAAAATGAAACATTTTCTATAAATCGCTTAGATGCAGTCAATTTCGTTCATAGAGCTTGGCAAAAAGTTAGCCGAAAAACCATTGCAAATTGCTTTAAGCATGGGGGATTTATAAGAAAAGAAAATGATTATGAACCAGACGATGAAATTCCACTTAACGAATGGTTAGAAAAGTATAAAGACTCTGACTACGAGTATGACACAGACGAAGATGTCCCAATGTTGTCGAAAAACAAGTTAAAACCAAATTGAATGATTTCAATTGCTTCGAATATGTGAGCATTGATAATGGCATTCTTACAAGAGAAATGTTGACCGATGAGCAAATTATAGACTCCGTAACCTCATCTACAGCTTTAAGCGATAATGAGAAAGATGACGATTGAGGTGAAACGTATTCTACTGTAGACACTAATGCTGTTCCAACCATTTCTGAAATGACAAAAAAAGTGTCAGAAACTCGGAATTTTCTACAATCACGCCAAGTTCCTAATCATATCTGGGAGTCCTTTTGTGATCTTGAAAACTACATAAATAATATCTATTTTTACAGCAGAAATGTACAAACAAAAATTACAGACTTTATGAAGTAGATTTCAAATTGAATTTTGTTTATCTTTTAACGAACCAGTTTTAGTTCATTTTTCAAGTTTGTTATATCCGGACTCAACTGTAGTTAGAACTTGGAGTAGAACTCAAAAATGTAATAATACATAGGGTGTCCCATTTAAAATCAGCAAGTTGATACCTACTTCCGGTACAACCGGAAGTGTGGCCATTTTGAAAATATTTTAGGCCGCTTGCCCCCAATGACCTTGGCACACTGTCCAATTTTCAAATTTCTCCTAATTACAGTTTGTGAGATATCGATCGCGGCGGTTGCCGGTGAGACACCCTGTATATAATTAATCTCAAAACCGATTCCAGTATATTTCAAACAGTTGACTACGAGCCGGAGAATTTAATTAAATATTGCCAACTGCAAAAGGAGAGATTTGCCTTAAAATAACGAATAAATATCGCGTTGCAATGGATTCTATTCTAGCCAAGTGGCTTGACAAAATTGACACTATGCCACTTTTGCTCGCCAACAAACTACTCTGTTTAATTGGAAATTACGTTATTGAAATTTTCCGCAGCTGGTTTAGTTGATAAAACCCTCACTTTTAGGTACTAGTTTTAATAATTAGGCTAATAGCTTCTGAGCCACGCTGATCCATGAGCACATACACCCGGAGAACTTTTTCAATGCCCCAATGAATGAAGCCCGGACTGGATGTTTGTAAAACACATTCAAAACTTCACTTGTTACCTGCTGGTAATTGAATTCACACTAGTGTTCGATCGAGATCGACGATTAATGATCGAGTCCCCGCAATTCACCACTCCTTTGTTAGTGATGCTGAAGGTTCGAAGTCGATAGAGATCGTCACTTAATCTAGGATTAATAGTTTTCTCTGGCAGCGAACACACCCTGGGCCTGATATGATCTGGAACTGAAACAACAATCATTTAAGAAGCTCATATTTATTTCGCTCCTTCAAACGCGCCCACTTTCCTCTGTAGGTAATTAAACGTTTAGGACTTAAAATTATACCAGTTAGAAGTAAGGCCGTCGAATAGTTGGCCAGGAGCGGATAACGTTCTCAAACGCTATTTAAATCAGCCCTCAGTCTATCAATAATTAGCGAATTTAGTGCCCAAAGGCTGTTTGTTGGCAATCTAAAGCATTCCCCGCTAACATCAGTCAAAGGAAACAGAATCTAGTCGTTTTTCGCCATGGGCTGTATTTAAGCTCCATATTATCGAGTAATCAGTGCGCTTCACGCTCTATCAATTATTCATGTCATCGAGCCAAAGTGTTTGCCAGTCATTTAATTAATTGCAATCAACAGGAAATCTCCTGACTTTTCTTATATTTGACTTACTTGGACCAATGGTTGATTGATGAAAATTTCCATTGTTTTCTCAAAAATAACTGTTTCTTACCCGAAAAGACGAGAGGTTGGAAAGTTATCGTCTGGATCTGATCTCCATCTAATCGTGAAAACTATGGCAAAAATTTAAATTGGCCATTCCATACACAACTTTTCCGCTAGCAAAAAATTATTAGCATACCGCCGATTCTCCACTCTTGACGCCCGGATTAATGGCATCTGTTTTGCGAGCTTTGCCCAATAAATTTCGGTCTGAAATCCATTATTTTTCTGGTAAACCTCCATTAATCATGAGCTTTTGGCGGCAAAAAACCTGACCATGTACCAGAGACTTTGATTTAAATTGGCCGAAAACAACCCACATAGCAAGATGATATTCCCAGAATATACTTGGAACATTCATGTGATTCATATTCCTGGAACATACATGAGTTTCATTATGAACATTCCATGTATGTCCCAGGAATCTGTCAGAGTTTATACACTGAATGTACATGTGTATGTTCTGGGAATGTACCTGGTATGTTCAGTGAATATACATGTGTATTTTCTGGGAATGTACATGGTATGTTCAGTGAATGTACATGTGTATGTTCAGTGAATATATATGGTATGTTCAGGGAATATACATACATATATGTAACGAAAGAAAAGCGATCCTTTATTTCATCTTAATAGTTTATTCACATATTTAAGTATTTACTGATGTAATTTTTCAACAACAAGAGTTACTTACAACTAATCTAAAACTAATTAAATGGATAATAAATAAATTAAAATATAACTTATAACTCCGGACTAAAAATCTAAAATAACATTTTCAGCATTTTTGCCGTTGTCGCAATGATGTGTGACTGTGAGATAAAACACAAACCTTTATTTTAAAAACTGCACTTATTATTTTATATTCCATAGATGTTCCTGCTCTGTGGCTTTTGCTCTTTCATTTTGTTCTCGATCCATCATTAACAATTTTTAATCCCAATTAAAGTGTTTCGCAATATGCTCTTAACAAAAATTCTATAAGCAATTACAAATTTTAATATTGG